CAGAATTGCCGGTGCGATCACGCGCTTTTGCGTGATTTCATCGTACAAGATGGAATTATCCCGTACTCCACCGTTAGCTTGCTTTTTAAGCAATCGTCAAAAGACGGGTTTATCGAAAGCCTTACCAGCGTTTCGTTGCTGTTTGGCAATTGCTACCTCTTCAATTATTTTCGGGTGCTTTTGTCCCTCAAAGATGCGAAAGTGATGTTTTTTAGTTTTCGATTTAACTTAAGTGCAATGACAAATGAAAAGCGCTAAGGAGAAAAAAGAGATCGCGAAAAAAGTGAGGTTTTTGGTTTTCGATTTTTTATAAAAAATAACAGTAGAGATAACTGGAAAAGTATTAAAGGGGGAAAAAAAACAGGAAAATTCTCGAACCTCAGTTATATCACCTTGCAGTTGAGTAACACCGGGTAGTGGTGACATCGGCTGTAAATCTACTGCCACTATACGAATCTAAAATTAACAAGTCTCTTAAGCATCGACAAATCGTAAGTTTGGGCAGCGCTATTCTCTCTTGCTGAAAGTCAAAGGTTTAAAATGGCCTAGAAAGATGACCAATTCCCCCATCATTCGTTTACTAGTTTTCTAAGAAAGGCGAAATTCGGAATTAGCCCAACTGGTGGGGACGCATTTGGCAAAGTTTCTGACGGTTTCCTCTTCGGGGGGGTTGCTTATAATCAGACTGAAGCATAGGCCGATCCACGACGGACTGTTATGGGAGGCAGGAGAGTGGGGGGCGGAGGGAGGGAGGGGGAGGGAGGAGCAGGATATGGGGGCTCTGGGAGAGGCGACCGGAGGTAGGGAGGGAAGTCCCTTCTCATCCCGGAACTATGCAAGAACCAGGGATCACGTTGTGACACTGCTACTTAGAGAGTTACTTAAGTTTAGAGTTACTTTAGGCTTTACTTAAGTTTCAGCCTCAGATCCGGGCTTTTGCAGTACTGGTGCCTGTGCCGCTGGGGGAGGAGGAAGACCCTTCGTCCATCCCCTCCCCCCTCCTTCCCCGGATTCGTTTATGGACCGAAGTTAAGTTCCGACTCTGGCATGCATCAGTATCAATTTATCATCGAAGCCAGTAAACAAATAATGGCTGGGGAGTGGTCGTCTTAGTGGCCGAGTTGAAACTTCGACCTTCAGTGAAGAGAAGAGCACTACTTTTTACTTTGTGCCATGCCTGCTGACACAAAGTTTTTAACAAGTAAAGGACTGTAGTAGTTTAAACACAGTTCGATTTTGAGTACGATACAGCTTTGCAGATTTTTTTATAACTTAATTTCAAAGCAATAAAAAAATAACTTGTGTTTGCGCACTGTATAAATTCCAAGCATTTTGAGCAATGCACAGAGTTTGTTAAATATTTCGTACAGCAAATAGAAAAAAAATCGAAATCTTGCGAAAAAATTTCCCTCAAAACTGCAAAAAAATTTCGCAAAAGTAGATTTTTCTTGAAATTTTTTTTTTGAAATTGAAATTGGAAAAAGAGG